GTTCCCCCTTGCTGGCCTCAGGCTGGTGGCTCTGCAAGCCCCACAGAGCAGGTCTCTGGTCTGGTCAAGAAGCAGAGACCACAGCGGCCTGGGCTGAGACCCTACCCAGACAGTGTTCATGCTGGCAGGGCCAGGGCTGCTGGGGTGCAGTAGGCACCCCTGGCCTCCAGCCCCAGCGCTCCCCAAGCCCCGGCCGCCTGCCCCTGCAGCGACAGCCCCCACCTCGGCCACCCCAGCTCTTCAGACCCAGCAATACCTACAAATATTTTTTGTTTTCATAAACGTCGTGCAGCTTTAGGACGTGGGGGTGCTCGATGAGCTTCAGGATCGCGATCTCCCGCTCCACCTGCATGGGAGAGACCAGAGCATGTCACGCTCGCAGGGCTGGGGCACTCTTCTCTCCCCACAGACGCCACCTTTGGTGCCAGCTGTGGGGGACGCAGGGAAGTGGGCTGCTCAGCTGGGGCCCTGGCTAGTGGAGAGGGCAGAGGGCAGGGAAAGCCGCAGTGGAGGGAGCCCAGGCCCCAGGGCTGACAGCAGCCTGTAGGGCTGAGGACTGGGGTTCCCTGGAGCAGGAGGGTCCCTCCCCACCCTGCCCAGGAAGGCAGGCAGCCTGGGCCTCGGTGCTGCTCCTCTCCGTGAACCCAGCCTCAGGAATGGGGCCTCCCAGGCTCCCAGCCAGTCGGAGGGAGGGCCCTTCCAGGCAGGCTGTGCCTGGGCTCCGTCCTTCCTTACGGTGGAGGCCTCACAGGAGGAGGGGCCGGGACAGGCTTCTGTGGGCTCAGGACTAGCACGAGGTGGGGGCAGGCGACCTGTGCGTGCGGGGCATAGAGTAGTTGTGCAGGCCGTGCTCAGGGCACGTGTCCCTGATCCACAGGCTCCCAGCTGGTACTGTCCCCAAGTGGGGAGGGCCCCAGGGAGGGACAGAAGTGACCCCTGAGGGCACCTGACTCAGGATACCCAGTCCTGCTCTGAGGTGAGGGCAGGGTCTCCTCCCTCAGACATGCAAGCCTGGCCACGGGCACCTGGTGCCCTGCCCAGCACAGAGGAATTGCCTTGTCAGTGGTGGGGCCAGCTGAGGCCACGGCCTAGGGGACCCAGCACTCAGGAGCCAGGGTGGACGAGGCTTTGGGGCTGGGGCCAGTCTTGTGATGGGGTCCCAGCTCTGGCAAGTTGGCCAGCCTGTCCCCAAGCCCTTCCCTCCCAGGCGGGCAACTGTGCCCAGCACTTGCAGGTGACAGGGACACCTCCCCCCGCCCCACATCTCCAGGCCCTCCTTCACTCGGGGCTCACAGGCACCTCCCAAATTCAGCATGGGACTCTCCCCAGCTACACCCTGTACTGGATCTCTCTGCCAGGTGCTGTCCTGGCCCCGTCACTCCCAGGGCCCCTGTTTCTCCTCCAAGGCAGGGTCGGACCCTGCCAGCCCCATCCAAGCAGCCCTCAGCAGCCCTTAACGCTGCTCCCACCTCCCCATGGGGTCCCTGGGCCTTCCCAGTTTAATCTGGTTAATTCCTCCACACCCCCAGCAGCTGGGGGGTGCTCAGCGTGTCAGGGTCCCCAACTGTCAGCAGCTTCCACAAGCCTCTCCTCTCTCGGCTACTCCCACTGGCCCCCGTCCCCGTGTCCTGCCCCACCCACAGCCCTGCATGCGAAGGAGTGAATGCAGGGGAAGGGAGGGCAGGGGGCTCGGCTGGCCCCGGTGCTGGGAGGGTCCCGCACTGCCAGCCCAGGTCCCACTGTGGGCAGGACTGGGAGCAGCTGGGAGCCACAGCCTCTGCCTCTACACCCAGGGTCAGGCTTCCCAGCAGCTAGGACAGCCCCATCCCCACTGAGAGGTGGGTCAGAGCCCAGGAGTCCTCCACCCAGGGGGCCTGCCCGGACCCCACGGTGACCAGACACCACCGCATGGAGCCGATGAGGAGGAAGGCAGGGCTCCCCTCTGCTAAGCTGGGCCCTGGCAGGCGAGGGGTTGCTCTGAGGCAGGGGCCTCCTCTAGATTCTAGCTGGGGACACTGAGGCTCTGCCCGCTAGTACAGCAGGTCAGTGTAGCAACTCAACTGCCCAGCTTCGGCCAGTCCCCTCAGGGGTGCCCACTCTGCTTGGGGACAGGAGAAAGGTGGGCAGGGCCGGAGGGGAGAAAGAAGGGCAGAGGCGCCCTGTCAGGGGGCCAGCAGGGGTGCGGCAGCCCAGGAGCCTGCAGGACCCCTGCACTCAGCTGCGCAGGTCCCCACAACGCTGGCTCCCACCCCCTGTGCTATTCCCCGCCCCACCCCACCGCCAGCCCCGCCTCCCTCCCTGGCCCCGCCTCCCTTCCCGGCCCCACCCCACCGCCAGCCCCGCCTCCTCCCCGGCCCCGCCTCCTTCCCCGGCCCCGCCCACCTTCATCAGCACAGACTCGCTCAGCTTCTCACGGTTGACAATCTTGATGGCCACCTTCTGGCAGGTGACACAGTGAACCCCAAGCTTCACCAGGCCTGCGGGAGAGAAGAACCCTCGCTCAGACCCACCCGGGGAGCCTGTAGCAAGCACCTGGCTGGACTCTGCAAGTGGGGAGCCTCCTCCCACATCCTGGACAGCAGCGGCCCCACCCACTCCAGGGCGGACTCGGCCCCGCCCCCTGGGTCGCTGTCCGGAACAGCTCAGTGCTGGCCTCGTGCTGCCCCCACAAAGCTGCGTCTTCCCTCCACGCCAGCCCTTTGGGCTTCTCGGGTCTCCGTGGCCCCCCTCGCCCTCTCTCCTGTCCCAGAGCACCCAAATCCCCTCCCTCTGGCCTTCAACCACCCTCAGCTGGGAGCCAGGGTACCCTCGAGGCCCCTGCATGGCCCAAGAAGGCCATCCCCCGCACACCCTGCCCTGAGACCCCCACCTGCAGCCTTCTGCAGATATTCCCCACCCGCAGCCCTCTGCTGAGACCCCACCCGCATCCCTCCTCTGCTGAGGTACTGCTCTGCACCTGAGCGCCGGCCCTGTGTGCACCCCAGGACACCAGGACGGGCCCCAGGTGGCTCCCTAGGCAGCACTGCCCTGGACCTCCGCGGCCCCGCAGCCCCTTCCTTCCCAGACCTACCTAAAAGGCAGGCAGGGTGGTCTGGGAATGTGCCTTGGCTGGGCACATGGTCCTGGTCCCCCTCCCCGCCTCGGCCCACCCTCCCTTTCTCCTCTCCCCACTCTTTTCACAGCCAGATACTTGCCCCTGCCCAGGACAGCCCGGCCACACCCCTGAGCCCCACCTGGCCCGAGCTGTGGTCTTGACACTGGAGACGCCCCGGGCGCCCACAACCTGGGCCCTCTCCCACCATCAAAGGTCCCCAGGTGCACTCACAGGCCCATTCCGTGTTGGGGCATGTTGGAATCATGTGGGGCCCAGGTTATCACAGGGGACCTCAACTCCCAGGTGCGCCCAGACACCCAGAGCCAGCTCAGGTTATCACAGGGGACGCCACCTCCTAGGAGCGCCCAGACACCCAGAGCCAGCTCAGGTTATCAGAGGGGACGCCACCTCCTAGGAGCACCCAGACACCCAGAGCCTGCCCAGGTTATCACAGGGGACGCCACCACCTAGGAGCACCCAGACACCCAGAGCCTGGCTGGCATTCCCACTGGGCTTTAGTGGACGCCATCCTTCCGTGCACGTGCTGTACTCAGATTTCACCCAGACTCGGCCTCACCCTGGTGACCCGCGGGACGTCACTGGTGTTTACTGACCATGTGGGTTTGCTCTGGGCTTCTTTCCTGTGCCCGTTTTCATACTGGTGCACGCACATGTGTGCATTTTCTTACCAATTTGCAAGAGCCCTTTGATTTTTATGGGAAATTAATCCTTCATTCGTCTCACGTGTTAAGCATCCACTCCACCTGCCCCATCGGCTTTTAGCTTTGCTCTTTCTGTCAGTTTCATTTGTGTGGCATCACGCTCGGATCTGGGTGAGCCCAGGCCGGGTGGGGGACCCAGGACCTTGCCGGAGACACGGGCTTCCCCAGAGGCAGGGGGAGCTGCAGGCCGGGCGGGGACTCAGGCTGGGCACAGAGGGGTGCGGCCTCCGCAGGGTGTGCTCAGGGAGGGGGAGCTGCCTCTCCTTGGCGGCCTTTGATCCAGCACGAGGCCTGTGATTCGCTTGGCCAGGGGAGCACTCAGGAGGGCCTGGCGCCCTTCACCCATAATCCAGGGCAGCTGGAGGTGCCCACAGCGCAGCCCTCCCCAGGCATGAGGCTGGCCTGCACCCCAGGGCAGGGAGCACCTGCAGGAAGGACTCAGCCCCACATATGGAAAGAAGCAAGAGCTCAATGTCCCCCAAACATGGCTGCAAGGCTAAGGCGTGGTCCCTGACAACAGCCTCTGGTCTAAAGGCCATTGGGCTCCTAAAACCCCCCAGGACAAACTCCTGTGAGGATGCAGAGGCCAGAACAGAGGCTCCCAAAGAAGGGAAGAAATGACCCAGAAGTGCCTGCACAAGGCACCCTCAGGAGCCCCCGTGCCCTCAGGAGACCCCTCAGGAGTGATCAGGAGACCCCAAAGGATGTAGGGCCCACACCCTGCCCCAGGGCGTCATGAGGGCCGGGGTGAAGTAGCAGGGAGGCTGTGGTCAAAGTCCCCAAGGCCACCGGGACAGCATTCCCAGGGAGGGTGGCCCTCGTGGTTCTGCATTTTCACAAAAGATGGCCCCACACAGGAGGTAAGTCATGAGGTCACAGCCACCAAGGGCACGGGGCAGCCATTAAACAGTGGCGAGACCTGATCAGACCGCAGAAGATGCTCACCGCTGAGCACGGCAGGATGCTGTTTACAGAGCAGCAGGGCCCCGGGCAGGGACAGCACGTGTGGCCACATACACAGACATGTACCTGTGTACACCCCTCGGTGTGTGCACACCTCTATGCGTGCACACACCCGGTGCACACCTGTGCACACACACACACGTGCACACACCCACATCCAGTGCACATGCCCACACACCGAGTGCACATACCCTGTGCACACACACCCGTGCACACACGCACACACCCAGGACACGTACACCCATGTGCACACACGCCCAGCACACACAAGCACCCAGTGCACACACCCCCAGTAACCCGTGTGCACATACAGTACACACGCCCGTACATACCCATGCATGTACACACGATTACACACCCCAGTGCACATGCACACACACCCACAGTGCACGCACTCCCTGTCGTGCGCACACACACCATCGTGCACACACATGTACAAACAGGCACACTCCCAGTGTGCGCACACACATCCTTGAATGACAGGAGCCAAAAGGTGTGCAGAGCACAGTCCGACCTCCAGAAAAGGAACGAAAATGGGGACTGACAACGGGAGGGAGTGACAGCCACCTGGCCCAACTTCCCAGAAGCCGATATTGAAAGGACACTGCTGGGCCCATCACAAATCAGGACAGCCAAGTCTCAGAGCACTGGCCTTGCTCCAGGCGCTGCTTTGAGGGGGGCCCCTTCACCCCCATTTCACAGATGAGGAAACAGTGGTTCCATTCCCTGCCAGCGCATGTGGCTCAGAAGGGCTGTGCGGACAGTGGACCATGTGGAACAAGACATTCCTGGCAAGCCCCCACCTTCCCAGAGGAAGTTCTGGAGGGGATGGAGCCACGGGGGTGGGCCTGCCGCACCCACAGAGCCCGCCCACGTCCGTGAGGCTGGGGTCTGGGGACTGCAGGTGGCAGGCGGCCTCTCGAACAGCAACGGAGTCACAGAGGAGCCACGGCCACCGAGAGCCTCCTGCCTGTGCTCAGGAGTCCCACCGTGACTCAGGTAAAGGCAGCCAGGACGCAGCAGGCCGGGTGCAGGAGAGCCGCCCCCAGCTGCGTCCTGGAGCTCTGACTACTCCTCCTGCCTGCATCCTCTTTCACTTGCTGCCCCAACGCCTAGAAAGTCCTTTGCCCCTTACTGTACTCTGAAGACTCCTACACACTCCTCAGAACCCAGCACGGAGGTGGCTCCCGAGGTAAAGCTTCCCTGAGTCCCCAGGCAGCCCTCTGTGTCCTGGTCCCCCTCAGCTCCGGGGTTCTCTGAGCGGAATGTTTGGGTTGTGAGCAGTTTTGCCACTTTCTGGAGGCAGGGAGTGGGGAGTGTGCCATGAGAGGCCCTCCTGACTGGGCCGCAGCCTGGAGGATGGGGGACGGGAAGCCCAGGGCCACCCTTCATTATCCACCCCTGGAACTCCTGGCTTATTTTCCGATTGAGATTCCAGCTCTAATTACTGTCTTTACACAAACAGGCTTGGCCATTGAGAGGGAAGGCGCGCAGTGCCACAGATCACTGCCCAGGGCCCTGAGGAGGCGGGCGGCACGCAGCAGCCGGGGACAGCAGCTCACGCCAGAACCATTTCTGTGGGAGCGTGCACTGGCGGGTGCCCAGTCTCCCTGTGCCCCCCACAGGGAAGGGCCCTGGCACGTGGAGCCCCAGGGCATCCCAGGGAAGCCACAGGTACGCCATGAGGTTGCTGGGCCTCAGGGAGCAGACTGGTGCATTATCACGGGTGCCCTTGGGTGCTCCTGAGTCAGCCAGGAGAGTCAAAGGCAGCCCCGGGACCACCCTGTACATGGTCTCTGACCAGGCTGTCCAAGAAGTGAGGGGCCTTTTCCCGCCTGGGCCAGGCGAGGCAGCAGCACAGCCCCTGCCCCTGCACTCCGCTACCTAGGAGGGCTGGCACTTTCTGGAGGGGCAGTGAGGGCTCAGTCCTGCAGCTCTGCCGGCAGCGCCCTGCCCCCAGGAAGCCTGTGGGGCTGTGGGGAGAGGGGATGGGGGGCTGCAGGCCCAGGAGCCAAGCGAGCCTCGGGCTGGACCAGCTGCTCTTTAGTTAGGGTAGGGCCCCTGGGGCGGGTGGCAGTGTTGGCACTGGGGAAGGACCCTCTGCAGCCCCCTCACCGCCCCGGCATGCACCAGACTGAAGTTGTACAGCAGGTACGGGGACAGCCTGGCGTGCTGCCCCCCATCCCCCGCATGCAGACCCAGGGGGCTTCCCACCTGCACTTGGCTGAGGGATCCTGAGCTCCCTCCCAGCAGCCCTGCCACATCCTGACCGTGTCTGCACCCCCAGGCCCTCTCTGCTCCCCACCACGTGGCTGCTGGTCCGTCCGTTGCCCCCATTCCCGTTGCCAGCAACCACCTCCTGGAGGCGGGACACCTCACGGGTGGGAGTCACGCAGAGAAGACAAGTGGCGCCTTCACCCAGGGCCTCTGCGAGTTCCTGGCACCCCAGGGCCTTCCCTGCACAACACAGATTTGCTGGGACAGACCCAGGCTTGAGACCAAGCTTGCCAGGACTGGGCACCCCCCCGAGGGCTACGTGCGTCCTCCCCAGTGTGTCCTGTTCTCCTGCAGAGTCTGAAAGGAATAAAGTGACAGTTCAAGCCTCTGCCTTCCCCTGGGACGGCCGTCTCGGGTATTCACACCTCACAGACCCAAGCCCAGCTGCCAGCAGAGCGCACCCCACCACGACACATCCCCAGTGCCCGCTGCCTGCCAGGCCTCCATCTAGGCCCTGATGGCCACGTGGCCCTGCCCATCCCACGCAGCTGGGCACCCAGAGCACCCGAGGCCTCACAGGGACTGGTGTGTGGTGTTTGCTTTCCTGAATGGATGCACACACGCTAGGAGCCAGGAGCTGGCCCACCGTCTGGAGCGCTGGGTTTAGGGGGAAGGCTGGACAGGTGAGGTGTGCTCACCACGGCACCGCATAGGGCGGCAGAGCCTCAGCATCCAAGCCCTGCACCCGGGCAGTCGGCGGCCTGCCTCTCAGTGTCACGTGAGGGGATGCACTGGGGACCCGGCCATGCCGTGCACAAGCCTCATGCACAGAGGAAACGGCTGTTTCCCTAACGACCTAGAGCAGCTGCACTCACTTCCCCGAGGCATGGAGGGAAGAGGCTTGGGGCTGCCAGGAGCCCGCTGGGCGGTGGAGACCTGGTGCTCAAGCCCCTACCCCCTGGGTTCACCAGACAGCTTCCTGACTCAGTTTCTCTCCAGTGTACGCTCCCACCCATGCCCTGGCCCTGCTTCAGCCCTCCCCAGCCATGGGGCCCCAAGTCCACTCTCCAAAGGCCTGAGGCACCGGCCCCGGGGTGTCCTCCCAACGCCCTCCCCCGCCCCACACCTCCTCCCATCTCCACAGTGCACACCCAGTGCCACGGCCTGGAGGACCACCTGGGGACACCGTTGCGTGTCTGTTACCCACCCTCAGAAGGGGGCGGGTTCCAAGAGAAAGGACGGGGGCAGCTCATCTACCCAAAGACCAGTGGAGAGGACGCAGGGCAGGAGACGAGCTTTGGGGTGGGGGAGGGCGTGCGCTAGGGATGGGCTGCTGTCCTTGGTGCTGAACGCGGCCCCTGGCCCAGGCTGACGGGAGGAAAAGTCCTGAGGAGTGGGGTCATTGGACAGGCCTGCCCTGCCCCCACCCCACCCAGGTGGCTCCCAGAGACCAGCACAGGCAACAACCTGCCCCGTCGCTGTCACCAACCCGCGCCTCCGGGACCGAGTGGGCCTCATCCACAGACCACACGGACACCACAGCTTCCTCCTGGACTCTGGGGAGCTCAGGGGAGCCTAGTGGCCATGTACTGCAGCAGTGCCATGCAGGGCGTCCAGGTGCTGAGGACCCGAGGCCCCCACACAGCCCGTGGGACCCCCCAGGAAGTAGCCCTTCCAGCCCAGACTGCAGACCGGGCAGCCCTGGGTGACGCCTTCACCAGAGCCACCTGCCGAGCGGCTGGGACTGATGACCCGGGGAGCTGAGACTCCAAGTGCTGAGAGCGCCGGGACCAAACGGCCATGCAGCGCAGGACCATGAAGACGTCGGGCTTCCCATCCCAGGCCTCGGGGCGGCACTCAGGACCAGGGTCCAAGTCCCCACGCCTGGCAGGAACAGCCTCGCTGAGTGGGAAACACGTGGCCTCAGCAGCAGGGCCTTGGCGCCAATCCCACCAACCCCACGGTCTCTGACAAGGCCCCAGATTCTTCGCCCATGGAGGCAGGGAGAACACCTCTCTGGGCCCGTGAGGTGCTGTGTGGAGCCCCAGGAAGGGGAAGCATGAAGCCCAGGGGGTCCTGCTCTCCCCCAGCATCCCGCCACCCTGCCAGCCGGTCCCAGGGAGCCCACCTGGCAGAGGCCCAGGTCCAGAGCCCCCATCTGTCTGAACAGAACCCCAGCAGGCTCCACAGGGCCCTGCCTGGCCCCCAGGACTCCCTCTGTCCAAGCGGTTCCAACGAGTCCTGAGCCTGGGCCTCCCAGGCCAGGATGGAGGGTGAAGCGTGGGAGGGACGGCCTATTGGCTGGACGCAGATGGAGGGCGGGGCAGCAGGTGCGTAGCTGCCCCGTCCTGCCGGGACGCAAAGCAGTCCAGGTCCTGGTGAAGGGGTCCTGGACCTTTCTCCTTTAAATGTTGGGGGAGTTCCTGCCACTTGGGCCCACCGCAGTGAAGGGGTTCCTCACCTACCCCCAACTCCCACACTGGCTACACAGCCCCCACTGTCTGCCTGGAGGAATCATGAGGGCAGGTGGGGGCCACCTCACCAGGACACCTTGTCCCCACCTGGCTCTCCCTGCCCTTCTTCCTCTTGCCCCCACACTCAGACCCACCCAGTGCTGGGGCACCCCCCGCATGAAGCAGTGGCGGGTGAGGGCCTGGCAGGTGGACACCCAGCAGACTTCCCTCCGCCTGGCCGGCAGGACCTGCTGTCACTCCAGGGGGATGTTGGGGCTCCCTGGGGCTCACGGAGCAGCTCTGGAGGCCATGGGGACACCGAGGGGTCCACCAGGTCCCACATCACAGCTGGAGAATGTGGAGGTAGAATGGCGGCCCCATGTGTGTCCCAATGCCTGGGGTGCATGAATGTGACCTGACTTGGAAAAACAGCTTCTGCAGAGGTTTCTAAGTTATGGATCTCAACATAGCATCGCTGGGGATCTGGGGTGGACGCTGACCCAACAACCAGCCTTCTTATCAAAGACCGAGGAAAAAGCGGCTGGGGACACAGCGGGGGGCCACGTGAGGGTGAAAGCAAGACGGTGGGGGGCACTTCTGCAGGCCCAGGGGGCACCGGGAATGCCCAGCGGGGGAAGCTTGGGGCACGGAGATCGCCCAGCAGGGAAGGCTTGGGGCAAGGCTTCCTTGAGGCCTCGGAAGAGCCGGCCCACCCTGGACCTTGGACTTCCTGCCTCCAGAACGTGAAAGAACACGTCTCTGCTGTTCGTGGAGCCCCGGGGAGCTCGCGAGTGCCGTCCGCCGCTCCCACGACTGTCCGTGGGCACAGTCCTTCATCACGAACCTCCTAAGGCATCTCGAATTCCAGGACCGCTGTGGCCGCAGCACGCCCCTGCCCCTCTCACGGTCTCAGAACTTCCCACCCACACTCTCCATGGGCCTGAACCTGGCCAGAGGCCTCGGCTCCTAACTGAAGGCTCTGCACAGAAGCATTTACGAGGTCTCGGACCCACCCCCAGTCTCAAGACACTAAGGACAGGGCTCAGGGGAGGGTCCCCAGTTCTGATGTCTCTGAAGCCTGGACGGCCATGACCCCAACGTCTCCACCGCGCCCCCCACGAGGCACCGCGCCCCCCACGAGGCACCGGGTCCCCCCGCGAGGCACCGCGCCCCCCCGCGAGGCACCGGGTCCCCCCGCGAGGCACCGCGCCCCCCGCGAGGCACCGGGTCCCCCCACGAGGCACCACGCCCCCCGTGAGGTACAGCCCTCGGGGAGGTCCTGGGTGCAGGGCCCTGGAGGTACCTGGACATCGACCCTCCAGGGTGCTCTCTGGCCAAGCTAAGGCTCCCAAGCTGCACTGCCCTCCCCTCGAGCCTTGCAAAGCTCTGTTCCCTTTCCCAGGAGGGGACACAGACACCTGAGGAGCTCAGAAACCCAGGTCTGCAAGACCTTCCATCCTCCTGACACCACATCACCAGGTTGGGACTGGCTGTGGGGCTTCCTGGGCAGGCAGCGGCCCCCACCTGGGGCCGGCACAAGCTTCATCTCCGTCACCCCCCGGTCCTGGCTTGGGGAGTGGACATGGCACTGGGAGACTCTGAAGGGAGCGTGTCCAGTTCCCCACAGGCAGCCGAGCCTTGGGCAGTCAGACCTGCGTGCCTGTGGGGTCTCCAGAGCTCGTCCAGCACCATGGACAGGACTGCCAGAGTGGAGTGTCCTCGGAAGCAGGTCTTCAGCACCTCGGAGGCCCTGTCCGGGCCACACGCTTGTCGAGGTCACCCAGGGGGGACTGCGGTCAGCCATGCATCCTGGGGGTGTGGGCACCACAGCAACTGCAAACTCAGGAGGTGCACAGGCCCCTCTGCACCGTCCCCACAGCTCCTCACTCGCCAGGGCCCACCACAGAGCCTCCTGCACCCTCAGCCAGCCTCGGCCCCATAAGCTGCTCCGCTTGTGGCCAGCACACCTCCCCCAGCGATACAGGGACCCCCACCCTTCCCCAGAGCACCCCATGGGTGGCACACGGCAGACAGGGTGGAGGAGAGGCTGGGGGAGGGCAGGCCCCACCTGGGACTCTGTGCACACACAGGGCACCAAACGGCTCAGGTGGGGGCTGGGGACTGTGAGCTGCAATGAGGCCTGGCCAACCCCTGCCCCCCAGTCTGCCTGGCTCACCCCTGATCACCCATCTGCATGCTCCCATCGGGGGCCCACAGCTGGGGCTGGGCTGGGCTCTCACCCGACACACAGTTGGCTCTGACCCCGCCTCGAATACACCCGATGATGCAGCAGAGGCGCACCCTCCCCCTACCTGGCACCCCAACCTCAGGCTAGACCCCCAGCAGGCCCAGTGACACCCCCAGCCTGCCCGCCCCCGCCCCCACCTGCCCCCTCCTCTCTCGGGCCCTGATCAGGCCACCGTGCTCACATCTCAGGCAGAGACTCCGGTGCTGGGCCGGCAGGTTTGCTCCCCAGGCGGGGGGTCCCCCCACCTGCCCCAAGAGGGGCCTCTGAAGTTGCTGCAGACATTGAAGCCTCGTTCCTTCATTAGCGCCCAGGTCTCTGCTCCCCGACCCTTCGCCTCCTCAGTCTGGAGGCGTCCAGGCTCTATGCACCCCCACCCCGCACGCCCACAGTAACAGCCCTGACACAGGGGCCGGGGCAGGGGCCGGGGCAGGGACAGGAAGGAGCCAGGCCCTCAGCACATCCTCAGAACATCAATAGATCCCACAGAATCCGCCGCCCACCAGCGCCAGGCGCAGAGGGAGGGGCGGCACATCTCTTGGGAGACAACTGCTCACGTTGGAAGGAACCTCTCCAGTTAAACTCATGCTGCCCTGAAGCATTTCACACGCACTGCAGCCGCTCCACTGCCTCTGCCTGGCTCCCACCTCTTAACCCAGCACCCAAACAAAAGGTGGGATGCAGC